TAACTGGTGGATTCTTTCTGTTCTATGCCTAGTTTTCTTTAACATTATATTGACCCAAACATTTCTACAAAATTCATCATGGTGGTTATAGTCATTTTGTTCTTGGGAGAAGCTGATCTTTCACCCATTATGTTTTAAATGTTTAGATGCCACAATGGAACTTTGTTGTTATTGTTGATTGCTGTCAACAACACTATGAACTAAAGACCAGAAGCCTTTCTGTAACTATCATTCATAGTTTCCAGAGGCATGTTGTTTAGGAAGTAAATGCCATGGAATGAGATACTTTTTAATCACAGGCATTATAGAAAGTATAGCAATCTTGTACCATAATGAACTCAATATCTCAGTGTATTGAGAGATTTGCCAAGAAAAGTGACTAAATTATGCACTCATTGTGTGCATAGACCAAAATGGAAGCATCAGTATTGGCTAAATATATATACAACTAGGATCTATACTTTTGAAAGGGACTATCCCAGACCCTCCACAATTGATAGTTAGGGAAGACGCTTCTAGTGGGCAGGAGAGCTAGACCTTTAGGCCTGACTCTAGTCTGGTGGGGTTTATTTCTCATCAGCATGCAAAGGATCTGAGCCAATCTGCTGAGGAAGCCACAGTGTCTCTTCCTGTGGGCGTGTGGGGAGTTATGCAAGGTTTCATAGATGACAGCAAACAGAGGCCCAATATTGTACTTTCTTCTGATTTGGATCAGGGTTTGACTCTTTAAAAAAAAAAATGAAAGAAAGAAACAGAACCGGTTTCTTCAGACCATTCATTGTTCCAGTGACTAAGAGAATCTGAAGACCTGGTTGTTGTCACTTTAGAAACTGGTTTGGGAGAAGCTATTTCAATGCCTTCTGCTTTGGTTTCCCTTTGAGAAAGTGGAAATAACAAGTCCTGTGCCCCTCGGACCACAGTGAGGCAGATGTTGCAATAAACAGAAAAGGCTTTAGCTTCCATATGGAAAATGTATTTACAAAATACTATGTTAACCAAAGTGTATGAAAATATACTGATAATCACATTGAAGATATTTATGCTTAGTTGATGTAATGCAGCTTCTACTTAAAACTAGTGTTCAGCCATGTCTTCAGTAGTGCAAACTAAGAGTTAAGTGATAAGGGTTTCTCAGTTTCTGAGGATCAACACTTAGTTCTAAACTCAGAGGTACTTCAAAGAGGGTAAGAGACTCAGTTTGTTTGGTGTCCAAAAAGATCTCCAGACAGCAGCTTTGGGGTTTGTGGTTTTCATTGTGTTGGGTTTTTTTTCTTTTCCCATTTTTTTTTTTTTTTTTTATGAATGGCTGTAGTATTATGCTCCGGTCTGCATTTCCTACCAAAACCATTCATAAAAATAAAACAAAATAACAACAATTAAAAAACACACACATAAAACTTTCTTGATACAGTCTGGAGCCATTGGGTGCCAGAGGCTGGGAAAACATCCCAGTGGCCCTCACCCCAACCAGCATTGAAAGCATTCAAGGGCCTGTTTGTTTGGTGGTCTGAAAAGTATGAAGAGCTGTGTGGAAGGGCAGCTGGTAGAAGTTCTGTGACACAGACTAGGCCGCGTGCCAGGACTGGCAGCATTTCAGACATTGTCTTTCCCTCATTGAAGTGTCAGGACCTAATTCATGGAAAATTGGGTGAGCTGGCAGCCCTTTCAGAGGGTTTCATTGAACCGCAGCGTGCAGGAGTCACATGAATGTGGGATCCCCAGCCAAAAAAAAAAAAAAAAAGGAGGGGGATTTCTGAGTAGTTAGAACAGCTAGCTTACAAGAACGTTTGTAGATTTGAAACGGTTTGGGAGTAAACATGTGTACAGGTGTAATCGGCAGGAAGAAAGACGAGGGCGAAATGAATACTCTCTGAGCACACTCTCTCGAGTCCTAAGAGGCAAGCAGTCTTAATCTTCCTTGGTTTGATTCCACCTGGAGAAGACATCATCTCACAATTGGGGCTTTTATGATGTCATCTCTGCTGTGATTTAAAGTGAAAAGGAAGAACTTAAATTTTTTTTTCCCCATTGAACAAAAACTTCTTGCCTTTTTATTTTTACTTTGTTCATGTTGGGGGAAAATGAAAAAATAAAGCAAGTTCTTTAGAATGTTTTCTAAAACATATTCAGTATATCAATAATAACGTACCACACTATCCCAGAAATTTTGAGGAGAAAGTACACTAAACCGGAAGTCCACTCCTCCATAACAGAAGGAAGTTACCCAATGGCTGTTCCCTAGGAAAACTGTAGCAATTGGATTCCTTTCATTTATACATGAAAGCATATCACTATCAACATCAAAGTAGATCATTTGTACTCACATATATCAGTGATGCGTAGTAGATAGGATAAGTAAGGCTTATATTCAAACATGAGCGTTTGGAAAAGGAAGTAATCCATCAAATAGCCTGGGCTTCAAACCCACCTTTTACAATATCAAAGAAAAGCGCAAATGCTTTCCTCCTACTCTAATTATTGGAAAATAAATTAGTCTGGGTAGAAAAAGTTATCTCAGATGTTTCACTCAAAAGAAGGAAAGTTTTGCTCTGAACGTATAATTGAAAAAATACTTCTAGAACAGAATATTCTGCAAATAAAACCACCAGGAGTGTGGTAAAGCTCCCCATGGAACAGGAGGAAAGAATAGAAAATCATCTATCTGAAAAGGAACACATATACAGAACATACAAAAAACTCTTACGCTCTAATAATAAAAACGCAAATAGTCCACTTTTTCATTTTAATATGTATTTGTCATGAAAATGGATATACAAATAACCCATAAGCATACGCAGCCGTCCTCAGCATCATAGTCATTTTACACTAGAAACCAAGCAACTGGCCACCGAGTCCCTTTCAGCTCAGAGCAACCTCATGTGCTGCAGAGAAGAACTGCTCTAAAGTTCTCAAGGCTGTGACTTTTCAAAAGCAAGTTTCTCAACATTTTTTTCCCCATCCCAGACTTCTCTGGATAGGTTCAAACTGCCGACGTTTTGGTTTAGTAATCGAGCACTTAGCCATTTCTATCTCCCAAAGACCCTTCATTAGCTCTTGGGGAGATGCAAATTGGAACCACAGTGGTGACATAACGCTTCACACCCACAAAGACAGCTATAATCAAAAAGACAGATAATAACTAACACTGGCATGTACGTGGAGAAACTGAAATCCTCACACATTGCTGGTGGGGATTTAAAATGGTGCAGCTGCTTTGCAAAGCAGTCTGGCAGTTCCTTAAAAGTTAAACGTAGAGTTACCATATGCCCCAGAAATTCCACTCCAAGGTATATACCGAATAGAAATGAAAACATATGTCCACACTGAAGCTTGTGTGTGGATGCTCAGAAGAGCACTATTCCTAATAGCCAAAAGATGGAAATATCCCCTACATCCATCAACAGATAAAATGTGGAGTATCCATACAATAGATTGTTATTTGATTATTAAAAGTTATGCGGTAGAGATGCTTGCTGATGTGGATGAACCTTGAAAGCAGTCTGATAAATAAAAGGAGTCAAGCTTAAAAGATTATATGTTGTATGGTTGTATTTCCATGTTGTATGATTTTATTTACATGAAATGTCATGAGTAGGCAATTCTGTAGATACAGAAAATACATTATGGATCAGTTCGAGTTTAGGGGAATGCTGAATCGGAATATGGGGAGAAGAAGGAAGTCTGGAATACCAGTAGTATTTTAGGGTGGATACAATTCCACAAAAATTAGATTGTTGTGATGTTGTTGTTATGTGCCATCGAGTTGCTTGCGACTCATGGCGACCCTATGTACGACATCCCTAAACTCTGCTCTGTCCTGTGCCAATCGCACCGTCTCCAACACACCCATCCCAATTACCCCAGTCACTGAATCAATCCACCTCATAGGGGGCCTTCCCCTTCTGCTCTGTCCGTCCACCATCCCAAGCATGATGTCCCTCTCCAAGGACTTGTTCCTCCTTGCAACATGTCCAAAGTATGTTAGATGGAGCCTCAGAATCTTTGCCTCCAAGGAGCATCCCGGTTTGACCCTTTCCAGGATGAATCTGTTTTCCTAGCAGTCGATGATACCCTCAATACTCTTCTCCAGCACCACAGTTCAAAGGCATCAATTCTCCTGCTATCCTCCTTAGTCATTGTCCAACTCTCTGATGCATAACAAGTGATAGCAAAGACCATGGCCTGTATCAGATGCACCTTAGTCTCCAAAGAGACACCATTGGTCTTCAGTACTTTGGAGAGGTCCCTAACAGCAGACTTTCCCATGGCACCGTGTCTTCTAATTTCCTGGCTGCTGGTGCCGAGAGTGTTGACTGTGGAGCCAAGCAAACTGAAGCTGTGAACAATCTCAATCTCTTTACCATCCATCCTGATGCTGCCAATTGGTCCAGTGGTGAGAATCTTTGTCTTCTTGACATTGAGCCTCAAGCCATATTGGAGCCTGCAGTCCTTGATCCTCTGCAGCAAGCGCTTCAGTTCCTCCTCAGTTTCAGCAAGCAGGGTTGTGTCATCTGCATATCGCAGATTGTTGATAGGTCTTGTGATAGTTATGCAATTTTCTGAATATACTAGAAGAATGATCTCAATTTTAGACTTTAAATCACTACATGGGAGACTATACAACTTATCCCCATAAAGTTGGTTGTTTTAAATTAAAAAAGCAAAGTATTAACAACTTGGGCACTTTCAGTCCTCAACTCAAAACTAAGGGAATCAAATAGCAAGTTGAATTTGGTATCACTGGCATGTATACCAGATTTTAACTGGGAAATTTTTTTTAAAATGTTTTAATCTAAGTAACCTGAATTGTATTTCCTTAACCTGTGGAGATCATGAATAAGCATACTGCAACCTTGTATAAGCCATTTGAACCTTGATATTTTTTCCTTTACATTAAGGACAATTACATACATTCACTACATAAATGCTTGATTTCTTCATTATGTATGCTTCCTTTAAAAATGTTAACATTTTTTTTTTTTTTTCGTTTTTTTCCCTAGCCACAGCAAATGGTTCCGAAGAAGCCTGCTCAGGTAAGTGATGGTCGTTATGATGCTTATTTTTCCTCTCAATTAATACAGAAAGTAAAGTTAAAAAAAATGAGAAAAGTTAGGGAGGGTAGGGGATTATGGGTTCAAATTAAAGTATTAAGGGAGCTCTGGTGGCTTAGTGGCAAGAAGCTGTGCTACAATCCCAACGGTATGCAGTTCAAATCCACCAGATGCTCTGCTGGAGAAGGGACAATCTCCTCCTGTGCCAGTCAGATTAGATTCAATAGTACACAACGGGGGGGGGGGGGGATGTCTTAATTAAGGTTTTTTTTCTTCCTAGTTTTAAAAATGTCAGTATTGCCACAAACTTGAAAATTTGTTTTATTCTTCAAAGTCAAGAATACATAGTGCTAAGATCGCATCATTAAAGAGCCTATGACTTAAATGTCTTAAATGTAAAATATATCAAAGATTCTTTTTTAAAAAATAAAGCAATTATCTTTTAATGCTTCATATGTAAAAGAGAAATATGTAACCTTATGACATCTTTTACTGATTCTTTAGCATCAAATGTTGTCCTTCCCACCTGACTACTCATATTCCATTGACTTGATACTACTTAGGAGCTGCAAGAAAGTTCATGATTTATGTATAGGAACTGTTCTGCTTATTGACTCAATCCAAATCTTAAGAACTCTGGAAAAGTTGTGCGAATTTTATAGATTAATGGAATCTTAAGAGTCGTTAAAATGACTGAACAACAGCCTTTAAAGTCATTTTGTCCTTTTTGTTGTTAACCATACTGAGTTGGGACCAACCCAATTACTGACCCTCCATTGGATTTTCAGAGACAGTGACACCTTAGGCAATAATATCAAAATTATAAACCAAATTTACTTTCTTTGTTCCATATGTCTGATGTTTCTTCTCCAAACTATAATCAGTAGTATACTACCACTGTTGACTTACATCAAGTCAATTGAGACTCTTAGTGTCCCTGAATGACAGAGGGTTTCAAAAGCTGTAATCTTTACCAGAACAGACAATGCCTACATCTTTCTTCTGTAGTGGCTGGTGGTTTGAACTACTGACCTTTTGTTTAGTCACCAGGGCTCTATAATCTGTATGTAAACAAAGAAAATCCATATCTACTATTGTCACAACTTATTGTTATCCACACAGTCAAATGCCTTTGCATAGTCAATGAAACACAGATAGACATTCCTTTGGCACTCTACGTTCAGCCAGGATTCATCTACAATTGGCAATAATATCCCAACCTCTTCTAAACCCAGCCTGAATTTCTGGTAGTTCTCTAACAATGTACTGTTCAAGTCTTTTCTGGATAATCTTTAGCAGGATTTTGCTAGTGTGTGATATTAGTGATATTGTTCAATATGGCTAACTTTGAGGAAAATGGGAATCTCAGAACACTTGATCTTGCTTATACAAAACCTATACTTGGACCAGGAAGCAGTCCTCAAAAGAGAGCAAGGAAACACTGCATGGTTCCAAAATCAGGAAAGGAGTGTGTCAGGAATTCATCCTGTCCCCTTACCTTTTCAATCTGTATGCAGAATATGTCATTCGGGAAACAGGGCTTTATGAGAAGGAGTGTGGCATCAAAATTAGGTGAAGACTTATTAACAACATATGGTATGCAGATGACACATCCTTGCTTGTTGAAACTGAAGAATACCTGAAGCACTTGCAGAAGTTCAAGGACTATAAGTCTTCAATATGGATTGAAGCTTAACATCAAGAAGATAAAGATTCTCACGACTGGGCCAATTGGCAGTACCTTATTAGATGAAGAAGAGATTGAGGTTGTTAGCACTTATAGCTTGCCTTGGATCCAAAATCAACACTCTTAACACCAGCAGTCAGGAAATGAAAAGACAAATTGCATTGGGAAAATCTGCTGTCATGGACCTCTCCAGAGTGCTGAAGAACAGTGATGTCAGTCAAGATATGAAAGTGTACCTAGTCCAAGCCATGGTCTTCTAAATTACTTTTTTTATGCTTCAGAGAAGTGGACAATAAATAAGGATGACAGAAGAAGAATAGATGCTTTCGAGCTATAGTACTGGAGAAGAGTCTTGAACTGTCATGGACTGTCAAGAAAACAAATCAGTCTGTCTTGGAGAGGGTGAAACAAGTCTCTCCTTGGAGGCTAGGATTTTGAAGCTCCACTTCATTTACTTTGGGCACATGGCCAGGAGAGATTGGTCTTTAGAGGACATCATGCTTGGAAAGGTGGAGGGACAGCGCAGGAGAGTAAGACCCGAGATGAGATGGATCAATACAGTATCTGGGGCAGTTGGCGTTGGTGTGTCAGAATTAGACTGGCTCAGGCAAGGGAAAGATTCAGAGCTGCTGTACATAGAGTCGCTATGCATTGCAGGCAACTCAACCAATAACATACTATGACAGGTTTGGAAGCAGGAGTGCTTCCTGAACAAGATGCCTCTGGAAACTGTGAACCTTGATAAATGTCAATCGTTGTAGAGGGGCTTCAGGCCTTTTGTTCATAGGGTTGCTATGATCAACAACAACTCAAGTCAGTTCTGGCCCATAGCAACCTTCCACCTGGTTTTTGTACTGCAGTTACTTTTTTCTCCCAAGGAGTGTCCAATAGACTCAAACCATCAACCTTTTGGCTGTCAGCCTGACAAATTATGAACTGCATTACCACAGCTCTTTAAACTGTACATAGTAATGGAGAAATCATATTCTTGAGAAAGTATGTCTCAGAGAAAAGATAACCAAAGAATAATTGAATCTCAGTTGCTATGTCGGTGAGCTCTTACAATAGAGTTTAAGAATGACCTACTGTTCTCTCTCTTTTTAGCTTAATGGACACACAGACAATCTAGGACTTGTGCAGAACCTGTTAACATGAATTCTTAACAAGTATCAGGAGTTACTACATCTTTTTTAGCTCTTTTACGTTAAAAAAATTTAATATTAAAGCTTTTTCATAATTTAAAATACCCATAGAATAATTTTCCCTGCAAGACTTTAAAAATTACCCTATACCCTATTCTTATAGAACAGTGTTACCTTGCCTAAGGAAGACCCTCCTGGGAGATTGTGTGTCTCATTAAAAATGCTGCTTGGAAGAGAGTTGAAGCTTATATATATTTGTTAGGACTCAGAGGGAAATGTATTAATTACAGTTCTACTTTAAGTGGAATAAAACCAAAGATACCATTAAAAAAAAAAAGCATGCTCTCAAAAGCCAGAAGTGGATGGAAAGATGAGGAGCTAAGTAAGTACACAGTGTTTGCAGGCAATAGTAAGCAAGACAAAACACAGATAGATTTATCCTTACATCCATCTTCAGTTGGTTAAAAATCAAGAGAAAGCAAACCTGTCTATCCATTTGTGCCTAAGAAAACTGTAACATCACTTTAGCATCATAAATGGAAAACTGTACATTAAAAACCTCATATGATCTATTAAAACGTGCATTCAGTTCCTGATCTTAATGGTGCAGAGAAGACAAGCGGAACAAAAGCAGCATGGTCACTGCATTCTGAAAAACACGTTAAGATGTCTTCAGCGTACACACACTGCTTGAACTACACCAGAGGTGCCAGAATCAGCCCATGGAAGCCAGTTGTGATCATATCCTTCACCCAGTTCCACATTCAGTGATGACCAGTAGCATAAAATAGCCCACTGTGGGAGTGTTTACACGATGGATATCAGCACAAACAACAAGCAGGTCTTTTTCCCCTTAGAGAGCAAATTGGTAAACATTTACTTACATACCAAGGATCCCAAACTCCAGAAAGTCTGATTATTTCATCTAGGGTAGAGCCCTAAGCATCAGTATCTTTTAAAGTCCCTTTCCAAGTGATTCTTATGTGCAGCCAGAGGTGAAGGACTACTGCTAAGCAAATAATCACTGACTATATAAATAATCACTGTGTATAGGAGACCCAGAGGGGTTTAGATAAAAGAATATAATGTCATGAATTGTTGAGGGGATCCTTCCTGAAACTTCGGGGTTTTGATTGTTGTTGCATTGCCAAAGGGAACATGGAAGCATAGAGGGAAAACAATGGAGGACATTCTAGATGAGGTGAATAAGTAGATAATAGAAGAAAGATAATAAATAGATCATAGGTGGAGACAGTGCATGTGGCAGGAATAGATTGCAAACTAGACAGAGATCCACCAAGAAATGCTACAAGTACAATCTTAGGAATATACTTTTTTTCCTTCCCATGAAACTCAGATCGGTCATAGAAACAGCAAGCAGGATCTTCACTGATCCCTGCTTGAGCTTTCCTTTTAAAGATGAGGGGACTCCAGACTCAGAATTAGCAACAAGAACATGAGCTCATTGGGCTTCCAAGTCTGTGTTGTCTATGGCTGTGGTAATGATATATATAAACATGACTACATAGAAGTTCATGGAGAACAATGTAAATTTTGCACCACATTCAAGAGAATTTCATTCTTTTCCACTTGTTTCTTTGAACATGCCCTTCCAGATGACTTTCTCACTTTGGCAGTCTGCAATAACACACACTCTTAACCTTTCTTCATCAACAGTATCTTGAGAGCTTACATACTGTTTTGAGGTAGAAATTTTAGTACCATTAAGTAAGTATCTAAAGCAAAGAATCAAGCAATGTGTTAGAATACCCATGTTTTTCATTCTGATTCCATTGCAGAGCTAACCTCTTCGAGGCCCTGTTTACCTGTCTGTGACATAGGAAAACAATACCTCTCCCTTTACTCCCTCTAACAATATAATTCATAATTTTATAAATTCCAGGGAGTATTATTATGTCAGGGAGCTCTGGTGGTGTAGTATGTAGAGAATTGCACTACTAACCCAAAGGCCAAGCTTCTCGGGTGGTTCCAGTCCACCAGCCACTCGGAAGGTGAAAGATGTGTGATTTACAGCCATAGAAAACCAATAGAAAGCCAGTTAAGACATTGACTCAACAGCAGAGAGAGTATTATGTCTGACTTATTTCTGGCTACCAGCTTTTTCATTTTCAGACCTTTATGCTTTCAAAAAT